TTAAGCTTTTTCAGTTTTTTTAATTTTTCTTTTTTTAAAAACACTTTTTCAATTCTACAGCTTGATGGGCATCTGGGACCAAGAGTGCCTTTGTTAAGTATTCAACTTCCTTTGCTCTTTCATCCAAGATGCAAGAGCTCCCAGCAATCATCTCTAGAGACTCCCAAGAAATTCTTAAAACCAGAGGAAAAACTAGACTTGACATTGTTAATAGTTCAAACAGTAGAAAGCGCATAATTAAAAAAACTGCAGGCCTTGCTAAATATCCAAGGAAAACCAACTTTTTTTTAAAAAATACTTCCTGTGCACCTCTTAGAGAGGAGGATCCTACAGAAAAGTGAGGAGAGCATGCAAATGTGAGTCGTTTGATCTCCTCTTCCAAAATGAAGTCTAAATGCACAGAGATGAATTGACTCACAGACAATTTATCTTCTCAACTTGAGCACAGTTTTAAGGGTTCTACAGGGAGAAGGTCTGCATGCTTCACTGAGACAACATATCCCGACTTCAGAAGAAGTGCTGAGATGGGAGAAACTAGAAACAGCAGCTGGTATCTCAAGCAATTTTCCCAAAAGAGCAGTTACTGAACTACATGCAAGTTGTAGTTCCAGGCCTGCGGAGCTCAGAAACTCCAAACACATGCTGCTTTCCCCTGCAAATTTCCTCTCACCCTTTTTCTCACCTTCCTTACTGTGATTATCTGAATTGTTTTATATTGCTGCAGAACTTAGAGGTGCTTTATCACACAGAAGAGATGGTCTCACCCCAACATTAGTTAACAGACATTGCATGAATATTAATAGAAAGTGTTCCCCACTTGGCGGACTTTATTAGTGTCTTGAACTATCACCAACTGATGAAGGGTTTTCCTTTACTATTTTACAAAATATACCCTGCTTAAATCAAAACAGGCTAAATATAAATAGTACCCCCTGTAACAAAACATCCCCCTGGCTCCCAACAGATAATAACAATGATTTAGGGCTTGGCAATAAGTAGAAAACATCTTTTTATCTTTGAGAAGTAAAGGCTTTATGAAACAAGTTTTCCAGTAACAGGTACCATTTTCAGTTGTCTAGCTTAGTCCTAAGTGCAGTCATTATAGTTATGTTACATTACTACAGATACACGCTATTAGTCAATCTGAAAATAAACATTTTTGCTTACTACAAACCATACCCTATACTTAAAGTGCTGCAGGTAACAATCAGGTGAACACAGAAAGGCCCTGTCAGTCTGGATCCGCCTCTGTTCCTTGGGCTGGGAATTTGAGTTTTAATACTGTCTTCTGCTCTTTTATGGCCACCAGCAGGCACCACAGACTAAAAAGTTCTTCCCTCCCCATTTTCACTTGACTCTTTGTGCAAGGTGAGTCCTGGGGCTACAGGCTAACACAGGCACAGAAACAAGAAAATTAGGTTGGAAGTTTTTGTGGAACAAAGAAAAATAAGGTAACCTACATATGTGTCTTGGATGCATTGCTGCTCAGCTCTTCACCCTCTACTATCAGTTGGGCTTTTTCAATTTATACTTCAAGCCTTTCCAAATAGGATTGGCATCATCTTCCATACTTACACCACACTGACAAAAGACCTCCAAATCCACTGGGGAGGTGACCCCATTGCCTGTCAAGTAATTTGCATAATTGCAAAACTTCCACTCCAATTTAATGTAACTATCTAATAATAAACTTTTGATACTTGCTTATGAAAGAAATCTCCTGTACATGCACATGACAAAAAAAGCTTCCACTCCTACTAAAGATCATGTGTAATACTCTTACCTTAACACTAACCTGTGAGCAACAGAACATGTCAATAACATGGGGGTAGACAAACCAAAGCAGCTTCTATGACAGAAGTCATAGAAAGTCTCAGAATACCAAAATATTTACAAAGGAATTTGCACTTACATTACTCATTGCTATGGCAAAATGGAAATTTAGGGGAGGGAATTACCAACACACAAACATAAAATGTAACTTATGCCATGAAAACAGATTCTCACAACCGCACTAAAAACACAAGTGAAGCCAAAAGGAGAGTGGAGGGAAAGGAAGAAGGCAGGCAAGCCTACTTCACTAAATGAAATCAATGGGAGCTCTACCATCAGCTTAAAAACACAAGTAAGAACTGGCCAGAAGATCATGAGGCAATTCAGCAGACATTCTCAGGACATCTGAACAAAAAGCCCTTAAAACCTCTCAGTACAAAAGCCACAAAATAAAGGAAACTGCCAGTTCCAGCTTAATAGGACTATTTTATGCAGTGCTTGGTGAAGATAATATGTAATAGAAAATTATAAAAAAAGGACAATAATGTCTGCAAGATGGTTGTACTAAAGAACTGTCCATTTAAATAGCTTAAGATCCAGTTGCTGATAGAAAAGCTTTATGGTGCACATCCTAAAAGTAAAGTGGATTAAGACTGTGATAATATTGATGTTTATCATTAGAGACCTACTTAGTCTTACAGTCTCTTGATGAAACTGGCATACAGAAAGATCTCTGTTACATTCTCAAAATTCAAACTTTTCTGTGAAAATATACAAATATTAGATAAATTGTATGCTTACATCTTTAGGTCAAGATGAATTCAGTAGCAAATTTTGAAACGGTACATCTGTCATTTCAGATAAGATATCTGATCCATGTCTGTGTCAGTGAAATTGTATAATTCCCCCTGGACATTTAGAGCAATGTGAAGCACAGATCTTTAAGACTCATTGAGAAGTCGGTAAAGCTTGACAGTACACATTAAAAAGAAATCCTCTGGTAAATTGTGAAATGCTGGGGGAGACGAAGCAAAATCACTACATCAAGCCATTACAGAAAGCAGACCTTGCATAACATCTAGAATCCACTGAATATAGACTCAGCTCAAAAAAAAAGAATCCTATCACATTAATATAATCTACTGTAGACGACATATGTGCAGTAAAGAATAATGTTATTTCTTCTTACATGTAAAGGCCAATCTACTGAACCCCCAGTGAACAAATTAAAGTTCCTCCCTTTAATCTTCTTCTCCTTTGTGCAAAAATAAAGGGTTTACCAAAGGCTATTTTGAAAGCAAAGACTTTCTATTATGTAGGGACTATCCTAAAAATTTCATGTTAATGAAAATTTTCATCTCATGCAACATTAGTGTGCAAATACACATTTTATAGTGAACTATTTTATAAGTGTTTAAAACAGAGTTTTTAGTCTGTTTTTAATCCTTTATTAAAAAAAAAAATCTTTTCTTTAAAAGAAGAAATGTCAGAAGTTCTGATATGGCTACAGTTTGAAGGATCAGAAAGACTGAGTAGAGACAGTACACTGGGTAGAAAATGTGTGGAAAGAAAACATGGCTGTAGCAGAGCATATAGAGCCAGATAAAGAATTGTGATGATTCAAATTATGTCCCAGAAGAAGCACTGGCAGCACACTGGTACAAACCTTGCATATACTACCCCCCTGCCCAATTTTAAACATTTTAGTGGTTTGACATATCTTATTTGAATTATATTTACCATCCTCTGTCTGTAATAGCAAGGACCTGAAAAATGCATCTCTAAGTAATGCTGCTAAGTGATCTGAATTGGTTCAGGCTGGCATACAGAGTTATTCTGCAAAGTCCTGTTCAGAATACCAGTAATAACTAAAAAGGCCCAAGGCCCTGACTTGAGCACTGTCCTGTGATTGCCCATGCTGTTTAATAGTTTGCGTGCTCCGTGGCCACGCCAGCAGCACTACCCAGACAATGCTTGGACATGGTTCAGGAAGCCTACAGGCTACAGATCATTCTCAGTTGACAGCATGGATGAGGCCACCAGTTTTGGAGCAACTGCAGAAAGTGGGAAAAGAGTTAGGTATACAAATATTAGTCCTGCTGTTATATTTACTTTGGCATATTCTGCTTATTAACATGACACAGCCACTGTGTCTGCACTGATGTTATGACCTCCCTGCATGTCTCTCAGATTTTTGAAGGATTATCACATGGTTCTCTTTGCTTCTGGGCAGTCATCTAGCTCAATTTCCTGATCAAAGCTGGGACAGATTCAAATCTGAACAATGAATGCAAATTAGAAACAGAAGGTAATTTAAAGAGGATGCCAAGTTCTGAAAATGTAAGATTACCTGCAGGACTAGCAGAGAAGAACGGAACTAATAAAATCACTTAAAACAATTACAACATTGAATTAAAGTCTGTTAACTTGCAAGGAAGAAGTGAATGCTCAGTTCTGTTGAGAAGCTGAGAACATCTACCCTGCAGAATTTCACAACTTTTTCCCCCACCATGCAGCAAGTACAGGTCAGTTTTTAAAGCAGTGATATTTGAATATCTAGAAAAGAAAATATAGGCCTTCAGATCACTGATCTTTGGAAGGAAAGTATACAGGATCACAGAGGGAATTCACTCCGTCTTGGGTAGAAGGGACTTGGCAGAGCATTAAACATACAACTTTTTGTTCTTAGTATTAAGGTAAAATTCAGGGAGAGAAATAAAAGGGAAAGAGTAGGTAAAACAGTCAAGGATGCCTATTTATAACATGGATATTAACACAGGTAGAAGACACAAAGACTAGTTCTGGTGAAATATAGTTATTTCTGGCACAGAATGTAGCAGCTTTTGAAGCAGTTCCTGTATTCATGAGTTGAAGACAGCAAGTGAAAATCTGTTACACACACATGGATACACACTCTCAAAGTGTCCCTGCTCACTGCAGGGGGCTTGGGCTAGATGACCTCTAAAGGTCCCTTCCAACCCAAAACATTCTATGATTCTATGAAAGGTCTGAGATAAAAATTAGTAATACCTAGCAACATACACCTACCTGGAGGCTAAAAACGAACACTTACTTTTTGTTTCATCTATGTATCTTTCATTTTCCTCCTCTTTGCATTTAATTCATACTCCGAAGAGCACTTCCAGTTTAAGGTTTGTAGAAAACAAGCTCAAAGCCAATAGCATTCAAGTTAGACCTCCATTTACTTCATTACTCTATCTCATTTTCCCTTCTGGTTATTAAAGCAGAGACTGAGCACTAATGACATGATGATTAGCATCTCTTCAAGCTGCATTCTTGCATCTCTCAAAATAAATTCTCAACAACAAATGTTTACTATTCCTTAGTTTAACAATTATCCAGAATATCATACCATAAATGAGCACATTTCTTAAAGAGTCCTTCACTCGATTTTTGACCTTTGTACTAATTGCTGGTTTGGAATTACTCACTTTTAACAAGTTATTGTCTGCATCTCTTTAGTCAATTTACTAATTATTCATAGAACCACTTACCAAGTAATTAATGATATAAAATTTGTCATATTCTTTGTTTTTAGCATTGATTCTGCGATGCTGCTTCTTTCTCATGTGATCTTTAAGTGTGTTTTTGTCTCTGAAGACTTTTTCACAATATAAACACTGCAAACTAAGAAAAAAAGGTAAACAGGTTAACATGTTAAAATGCAAATAGAACAAGATAATAGCCTTAAATTAGCTGGAGATATATACAGTAAGATTAATCCTAAGCATGTGAGAGCAAGCTAAATGAAAAAGAAAATTTATTTGAAAAAAACGGAAGTACAAGATAATCTTAGATCACAGTAGAGTCAATGAAACACAGAGATGACAAAATGACATAAAATGAAAATATAGATAATAAAGAAGTTTACTGTTTGCCCCACATGCAAAGTGGGAGAAAAGTCTGATTACCCAAAATTGTCCTACCAAGGGCACGGGAGGGTTGCTGATTGGTCAACATGTGAACTCTTAACTCAGCATGCACTTATACTGGCATCCAATCCATCAGTAACGGTTGCTTTGTAATTTAGAGTGACAAAAAATGAACTCTGAATGTGCTAAAACACTTTAAATTAGCTAAACAGAAAGTTTTATACTTCTAACTCAACAGGGAGGCTAAACGAAAGTTCACCAGGGTGATCAATGGATTTTGAAATCCTGAGAAACCAAATTTAGTAAGTAAATTCCTACACACACACGTATATATATAATAATTCATGTATAGCTATATACACACATATATGTACATGCATATATACACATATATACACATGAATTATTATATATACACACACATTACTTGAGAAGGTGAAAACATTCATTAACAAATGAGAATTTTACCAAAGCATGTCTTCCAGAGCAATTCAAACAAAACAGAAGTATATGTGCTGTCTTAAATTCTCTATTATGAGCACTATAAAATAATTGTTCTCTCCACTGTAGTATCAACTGACACCTGAAAGCTGAGCCTTTAAAGCACTAAGTCAAGTCTCTTGACTCAGACAGTGGACTATGAGGACAGTAATCTGCATTTCAGCCTAAATGGGCGATTCTCCCTGATATAGATGATGGTAATTTTTTTCTGGCAGAGACATAGCAGAGCCCTGGGCTTACAGGGACATCCTTGTTTAATGGATGTAGGTCTTTAGCCTCTAGTTAGCCAAGGTGCTGAAACATTTTTCTTATAAGTGATGGCTTACATATCCTACCAAGGTGGAGACAGTTTCTTGGGCCGTTTGAAAAATTATCTTCACAGGGGGATAGGGAAAACCCCCAGAAAATAATTTCTCATGAAATAAAACCTTTGTAACTGTGGCATTATATCTTTGTATTGGAGATGCTGGATAGCAGGGAAGAAAAATTGATGGGAGGGATAAGCGACAGCACTTTAAGACACAAAACCCATGAATATTAAAAAAATGCGGTAGCTCTGAATTAAAATTATCACTTTTTTTTTTTTTCTTTACTCACAGATAAAACCATGCTTGATTGTATAGTCAGAAGGAATTTTAACAGTGTCTGGGTCAGGCCTTTCTGTGATTTCCACAGGGTTTAAGGTATAGATGTTGAAGAAAATTATTTTCTTACTCAAGCATTTGCCCCCACAAAAACCATTAACATTGTGCCTAGAAGGTCTGTACCTACGCCCTGAAAACTCTCATACTCCTTCAGCAAAGGTGCATCCAGATTCCCCTCAGCTCTCGTGTGTGGAGCAGCAATACAGGATTCTCAGTATCTTTTTGCCTTCCAAGAACTGCTGTAACTTCCTGTTAAGGAAGTTTTGAGTTCTCCTTGTGCTTGCAGCCTTAAAATCTAAATATTGCCTTGTTGGTGAATCATAGGTCTGATGGCAGAATATGTCTATGAATTTTAATATCTGCTTTGTTCCACCTGTTAACAGCAAAGTGTTTGCTCTACTTGTGAAAGGCATTCCCAGGAAGAGTATGCAATGCTTTTCCTCAGCATACACAATGTAGTCATGCTATTTGCCTGAAACAAGATTTTCCTCCTCTTAATAAAACTTTCAGGTACTATTCTACTAGCAGTAGAATAGTCTTTTTTAGTAGTAGTAGGAGTGGCCTTTCACTGCTTTGGAAGCAATTTCAGCATGTGTATTAACTACAGAGAGGATTGGCTTTGAGAAACCTCCATCTCAATGAAACCCTCAGGTCCTACTGATAAATAGTAAACCCACAATTTATCAGTGAGCAAGGTACCTCAGTGCATTAGGCAACACCAAGGATAACATAAAAGGCATTCCTAATACATCTTCATTTCTGGAAGAAGTTAACCTATATCTGTTGCGACTGAACATTCTTTGTCAGGCCAAAGACTAGAGAGCACTGCTGGCTTTCCTGTCCTTTGAATCTCTTTTTCTTTTTTTTTTTTTTTTTTTTTTTTTTTTTCCCCCCAGATGTACAAACCAATGGATCCTAAATTTACTTGGAAGGATATTTAATCTAATTTCCATATCCCAATTTTCACAAAACCCAGTGTTCTGTGACTTTTCATAACTAAACCTAAGATTTAGGCAAATTTCTCCTACAGTCTTTGATTACACATGGTATTAAAATCTAATAAACTTGTTAAAGCTACAGTTTCACTCTTAAGGAAGTACATTTTCGGCTAGAGCCTGTGGTGGTGCAGCTCCCTTGGGGTGACTCTGAGATCCCAGGATAAGCGCTGTTGTGCTGTTACCTTGGTCATACGTGCAGTGACTTTGGTGTCAGACATTCCCTGGTCACACCTGGGCCATCTGCTGCCTGAATTGTATACCAGAATGGCTCAGCACAAATTGTGGCCAGAATTCAAAGTACTGACCAAAGCCAATCGTCTCGAGATCCTATAATAGCGATCCAAAAGGGAGACATTTTGAGCTCTCCGGGACCGCAGCAGGCTGTGTGACCCAGTATCTCCCCCCAGGCTGGGACGCCTCTCAGGGTAGATTTCATGAGGATTGAAGGATCATCTGTCAACAATTTTGTGAGGACTCAAAGGCCTGATTTCGCGAGGTTCACCAACCATCCGTTGATGAATGCCGGCACATAAAAGTGAGTAATTATGAAACTTATGAAAAGGGACATTTTAATCACGTCAACCTCTGTGTATGCGTGTGCAATTTGATTCAGAACTGTTTGTCTGTGTGCACACAATTTGATTTAGAGCTGTTTGTTGGTCTGTCTGCCTGTGTGTGTGATTTGATCTAAACCCCATCTGTGTGTGCAACCCCACTGCAAGTTGCGGGTGAGACCCTTGCCATTCTCGAATCTTTAACTAAGTTGCTATTTTGATTGTAACATATTCCATTGAATTGCTCTGTTAAATTGGCTGATGCTTCAGTGCTGTTAAGAACTATATAACCTAATTTTGTGATCTATCTCAAAAATATTAATAAATCCTAAATTGCTGCTAAACCAAAGCTGCGTAAAAAATCATATTCGCGACAGAGCCCAATTTATATTCGCGGCATACTTCATATTGTTCCATTTATGAAATCCATAAAGGGCACTTAGATACTGGCAAAGGAAACTCAGAGTGAAGGGTTTCTTGCTCTTTGCTACCCAAGTTCTTCTCCCAAATTCCCTTTTTAACTTCTTCAGCCATCTCAGGTTTACATGCTTCTGAGGCTGCGTATGCATTGGCTTTCCCCTTCTGCTCTGGGATGTACTCTATAAGCAATACAGAAGGCAGAGACCGAACATCCCACATTATCAATATATAGAGAGGCAAATGAAGATTGGCATAAGAATGCTGCATTCAGTGATTAAAGAGATGTTTAGCAAAAAGACTGTTATGATGAGAAAGAAGAACATTAACAGTTATAAGAAAAAGGGATGGGCTAATATTGATGTCAATGAAAACTGTGCAATGCATAACTGAAGCACTGCACGTGACTCCATTTTTCCAGCAAACACGTACTACAAATTGTTAAGAATTAGCTTTCAATAATTCAACAAAAAAAGCTTCTAAGAGCACTCACAATAAACTTATGTTCTCTCTGTTTATTCTTAACTAACCATGAATGTTGAATTAATTTTAACTCAACTTATTTCCAAGGTTAAAGGAAATATGACTTAAGTCCATTAGAAAAAAACAAACAAAAAACTACTTACTTGTCGAGCTTCTCCTGTAATACAGCCAAAAACTCAGAGCAATTCACAATGTTATCTGGCAGCCCAATGTTAAAAGAATGCTCTCTTGCCATATGGTTGAGAAGGACAGATCTACAAAAGACAGTCACAAACAACACGACATATTTTTGAATACATATGAGAATTATTCAATTAGTGACTTGAAATAAACCAATTGCTCTAAAAATGCATAAAAGCCAACATTAAATAAACAATAATAGTGTTGCTGCCACTGCTAGAAAAAAAATGCAACTCTGTTGAAATAGGAAGTTTTCAATTTCAGCTCTGCTGAACATTCAGCAACATTTCAAATGCTTAATCCGCATGCATGAAATGTAATCCTTTAAACAAAAATTACAATATAGTTTATTTTGACCCTCACTGTTAGCAAAGCTCATTTATTAACTTGAATAAGCAAGTCACGTGTTTCAAACAACCGTCTTGAGAAACATTCTAAAAAGCCATTTGTCAGTTTTCTCTATGCTGGTTAACAAAGCAGAAATTCTTGGGTGTGATATGCTTTTTACATCAATATTGCTTCACACAGCACGAGCAACACAAACAGCACTCAAAAATACACACGAACAAACAAAATGGATGTTCAAGTAAGTTATTTTTCTAATAGAGGTATACTGGTTAATTCCTTCGGTGCCTCAATTTCTGCATTTGGGGACTAAGTGTTAACACTGCTGAGCCTTGCTTTTACCCCAGTCCAGGCATGATTTTCAAATCACGTATTCTGCGAGACCCAAAAGTAAGCAGAGGATGAAGTTCTTGGGGGCTGAATGATGTGAACTTCACTACACCAGGCAGTAAAGAGAATAGAACACTCACGCAACATTGGGATGACCTGCAGGGACAATGACCCCAGGTTCTTCTACCTTTCCAGAGTACCAGAACTACCCATGTACACACACATTCAGGGATAAGACTCAGTCTCTCCAGCTGAAACAGATGTACTGTGTAAAACCAAATTTTCATCAGAGCAAGCACTTGAATGCAATTCCTGCTCACACTTCACTGATGCAAAGCACACCATTCTTACTCTAATTTTCCTCCCCTCTGTTTCCTTCAATCTTCAAATTCACACTGGTTTGGTGAGGTTTAAACAGGAAAATATGTAACTGGATAGATTTTTTTTTTTTTAAACAGCCATACTGGCTTAAACAGCTCTCTTTGCCACTAAAACAACTGCCAAAAAAACATGTCTCTTTAAAATGGTTCAGTTCCCAACTCCGGCCTACTGTGTAGCATAAAAAGTTGTACTGAAATAATTAAAGGATTGAGAAGTGGGAGGGGGGTCTATTTAAAATGGCACTGCAGTTGAAAGAAATACTTAAACTATACCTTAAAATGAATTCTGTCTTCTGAGTCCTACCATTAGGCAGTAGCTGGTTCAATGACATTAAAACCACAAAGATGATAAGCAGATATGAAAAAATAAAACAAAAGCAAACAAGTTAATAAACAAACCTGTTTCCTGTGAATTCTTGATCACAGAACATACACATACTATGAAAACTTGTGTCGTATCTCTCTCGCTGTTGCTGTTCTAGAATTTCTCTCTATGAAAAGAAACAGATACAGTTATTCAGATAAAAAAGAACAATCATTCCATCACATAACCTTATTATGCCTCTTTATCCTTACTGGTAACAATGAACATACAAAATTAAAATGTGCTTCTGACACAAACCGGATGTTAGTATTTTTTGAGGGTGGGTTCTCACAAAAATGACAAGTTTTTTCAAAGGCAGTATGTGCTCCAGTCAAGTTCAATTAAAATTCTCCTAGTATTATACAAGGTGCAAGAAATAAATACAATCCACAGTGAGATTTTACACAGCTATTTAAGCGACTCTGTGTATAACATATCAGTTTATTGTTTCTACTTAGGTTCAGATTTACCTCTGGTATCAGAGGGCAAGTTTATGGGTAACCATGTAACTCCCAGTGGAATGATAAACTCAATTTTACATGGCTAATTGCAGGCAATCTAGAGGAGTTTTTCATTATATGGAACAATGACAAGAGCCCTGGCAGTTTCTGCAAGGAGCTATGGCATGTAATAAACTCAGGGAAAAGGAGAAGCTGGTTGCCTTTACCACTGGTCCTGTTTAATGTAGAGCAACAGGCTAGGCTAGACATTTTACAACACTTGACCGCAATTTTCCAAACAAGAACAAAATCACGCAGCAGGTGATTTTCTCTGGTGCTCTAGCAGCAGCAGTGTAGTTATACTGTGGAGTTACTATACACTTCAGATGGAAAGGCCATGATCATCCGGGACATGGAGCAATTGGTGTTTGGATAAAAACTTAGCGTATTTTCAGCCTGGCAGTACACTACCCTGTACTTGTGGTTTAAGTACTGATAACTGGTAAAGGATTTATTTCGTATGCAACATAGAGGTGCTACTGCCTGCTTTCTGATATTTGGGATCCTGACTGAATTTCTTAAGGGATTTTCTCAATCTCTTTATCTCCTTAGAACCTGCAACAGTGGAGCTTTGTGTTTCTCACCTACCTCTTTAGTACCTTTTTCGTGTGGATTAAGGCCCAAATGTGCTCACAGTCTACATCTAAATTCACATTCAGCTACGGCTGTTGGGTAAGCTCCACAGAAGGCAGAAAAGAAAGAAAAGGAAAGGAAAAAAACCCTGAAAAAAACCCCTAAAAGAAATAAGAGGAAGGCTTGAGCCATTTTCATCACAGGCCCAAACACGTCCTGCAGCACGGATGGGCTGGTGTGGGCCTACCGCACCACAACCCGTTGCCCACTGAGAGATGGCAGGAGGCTGATATTGGGCAAATAAATGTCCCGTTTGTTTCTTTTCCACAAAAGCAGCATGCTGTATCCAGCGAGGGGCAGGGGGATGACAAGGATGTCTGCTGGAGAGCGCAGGAGCGTGCCACACCTGAGTTACATCTGGCCTAGGGCCAGCGGCTGCGGTGGGGGACGAGCGTAGCGTGCCTTAGCCCATTTTAGGCCCCATATTCAACCACACAATTTAGGAGCTGTAGCTGTTGCACATCAGCTAAGAGTCTGTTACCCTGACAGTGCAGATGCTGTGGCTTTTTCGTTTGCTTTTGTACTAAAAGGTGTACGTTTTCTGTTGGAGGCATGCTCAGCAGCGCCTACTCAAATGCCAGGCCATATCCGCTCACGTCCTGCTGCGTTATGCAAAATGTCAGCTAGACAGAAATATAAATTCCTATTTTTCAGGGCTGACTCCTGAAAGAGATAAATGGAGCATAACACATCCTGGGAGAGCCCTTCAGCAGAGATGGAATTAAGTAAGGATGTCTGTCTGCTCCACACGGGCCGTGAACATCCCACAGCATGTCCGTAGGAACCGGGGCTTTCTCTGGTACTCGTAGCTGTCACCTCTCTCCGCTCAGCAGCACGTCTGATCGGTTTGGCTAACCTTGAATTTGAAGGTGTCTGCGTACAGTTTATATACTTTGTAAAATGCACTAGAAACAATCTAAAAGAAAATCAAAAGATACCACGTACAATTCAAACATTAAGATAGCAAGGGTTTAAACACCCCCACCCTCCCATTAACTCTATTCCAGCGTAGCTTCCTAATTGTACTCTACCAGGAGGGGAAAAAACCCATGTTCTGCAATATTTGGCTGCCTAACTCCAGATTCCCATTTCATACAAATTGCCTGCTGGAGCCCTGGTGTGCTGCTACTCCCAGTTATGCCTGAGGGGGAAGGAGAAGCGTACTGTATCCTCCAGCCAGATGCTCTCACCCTTCCTGTCCGCCCCTGCGCCAGCACGCTCAGGAGCCGGGAAGCTTTGACTAACCCAGCGTTGTTGCTTTATCAATTTACTCAACAAAGTTTAAAAAATATTTTCCAAGGCAGACGCTCCTTTTGTCACATGTCGGCATCATTCATTTCTAGAGGGAACTTTTGGAGCCTGCAAGCAAATCTGGTACTTGCACAGGTGAGGAATTAAAAGTTCAAGTCAAGTACAGCAAAAGCAAGAGGTCTGCTCTTCTTCCCTACAGACACTCCCAAACACCCTTCTACCTCCGCTCCATTGCTGGGACTCTGAAGGGAGAATAGCAATTACAATAACTTGCATAAAACCTTTGAGATTTTTCTGAGTGGAGACTTTCAGCTGTTAATGAAAGTTGAGCTTAAGCTGAAGTTATGAGGGAGGAATTGAGTAATGTAATTTAATACCTGCACCAGCTTCCAACCCATTGGAATTGTTGGGGCTGTCAGCATTAATTCATGGTTGATACTAAGACAAAAAAACCCAAAAACATTTCATCCATGAATATTTTCCAAAACTTTTTTAGGATACTGTGTCATATCAAAGTGTCAGAGAATGAGAGGGCAAAGTCACTTGAGGAAAAAGTAAACAGATCACAAAATACACATCTATGAGTTTTCTTTTTCCATAATGAATGGAAGAATTGAGCACAGGCAGAAAAGGTAATCCAAAACACTGCAAAAGTAAGCGAATCAAATGCCACAGCTTGGTATCAGGAAAATAGTTTACAATATTAATACAGTTTGTTGAATAATTCCTGAGCCCCATCTCTTTTTATCTTTCGTGAGATGTTCTAACAGCTATTTGTCCTCTACTCTTTCTGCCATATTCTATGATTTGTTACCCACCTTCCAAAATCCATTATTTTATTGAAGGCTGTCAAACTAGTTGTGAAACAACCATTGGCAGAACAGATATCCCCACGGATACAAAGTAGAGCTTAAATTACAGAGGCTTTTAGTCTAAAATCTTTGTCCCCTCAAGCCACATGAAGCTTATGAGATCAACCAGGCGTTGTCAAAAGTAAGTACTGCTGCATGACAAGTTCTTGGAAGCCCATTTTTAGACAGAGCCTAGCTCAGATAAGCAGTACATATGACTGCGGCAGTTAGCAGCTTCTTGTGGAATAGCTTTAGGAAAATTCTGTGAAGTGCTTGATCACCTGCAAACATGGCAAATGGAAGCTGGATATTACTGATCATACTTACATGCAACAAAAATGTAGTTGCTTTGCAGGAGTACCAGGAGTACTTAATGTATTCAATAAAATAAAATTCAGTTTGAATCCAATTTCCCTTTCTTCTGTCTGGAAAAAAACCCTCTTCTACAGCCCTTAGTCATACACTTTCTACTACATGGGTGATCTACCATAAAAAAATTCAACCAAATTACAAAATACTATCTATTCTGTGTTTTAACTACTAAAACAAAAAGCATGGTAAAGATGTACAAGTGTTTATAACAGGATGATCATCTTTAAATACACCAGTACACTGAACTGCTAATACAAAGGAAATTTGGTCACTTGCATGACAATTTGTAATTTGGAGTCTAGAAAAATGTCTTTCACATTCATGATGCTCAGTTTGTCGTTGTGAGGAGTTCAGACTTTCTCCTAGGAGGTGGTAATTTAAAATGTGCCTGAAAAAAATGTGCCTGTTCCTCTCCTAGGAAGCAATATTTTGGAAGAAATTACCTGTTTTTTTTCCCAAAGTGCTCAAGCACTATGCATCAGCAAGAATTCATACTGATAATCAGTAAAAGATGAAAAATGCATACTTGCAGCTAGTAAGCACTTTTCCCTAAACAATTACTTCGTCTCTGGTCTGTAGTTCAAGAGACGTTCAAGACATACAAAATGCCTTCAGAAGGTAAGACTAACTCCATGGAATGCCAAAAGCTATGGACTCAGGACAGCTGGTTTTATGGCCCATTAGACTTGTCTGATATTGTAATTCCTGCTACCCTTCCCTCCAACAGACACTAGGTGCTAAATTGTCTGTCTTTATTGCTGTCAGACCACTGCTTTTTTTAATCATAAACTCCTTTACTAACAAGGCACTCATAAATAATTTACGTAGGTATTTAAATGCATGGCTTGGATCAGTGACATAGAACAACCATTCACAACCAGTACTCAGTACAAATTTTGCTGCTTTTGATTCCAACCTGAAGAAAGGATTGGTGGTCAAAATTTTGCCTGTTTTTCCAACCACATCAACAAAAATATATTATTTCTTTCTCCAAACCCTGTCACTTTATAATCACAGCACTTCTGATACATAAGAAACTAAGGCAGAAAGTACTTCTCTAGCTCCAAGATAGAGGCAAATTACACTGCAGTTTGGGACAAGATCATGCAGTGACTTTTTAACTGCAGTGAGACCTGAATTTATCACTCCTCCATCTAGGGACCCATTTGTGCATTGGAAGACTGGATTCTGCAGTTCAGTCTGTAAAATTGAGCTAACAGCAGTATGTGTCTTCTTTTTTAAGATGTTCAGGACCAAAAAAAAAAAAAAAAAAAAAAAATACTGCCATAAGCCCTGACAAGGCAAAGTCCAAAGTTTCTCATCCAAAGACTTAAGCATACTAAGTAGTCTCAACGTATTTTCAGTAGTGGGCTGGATCGAGGCATGAGCATATTGTAGTTTGGGGTTCTTGTTGGCATCTGCCTTGCCAGTTCTGGTCCTTTGCTCTCCTCCTCTCTAGGCAAGAGACTAGAAAGACAGCATGTTATACAAATGATCACTTAAGAGAAGTTCCAATGAAG